AGACAGGGTTTTCATAGTTCAGGGATAGGGGCTTTCCAAATGGGGGAAAATGGAGCAGAATGGAAGCATAATAAGTTGATCCTAGCAGCCTTTTGAAACAAAGACATGATTGCAAGGTGGTTGTAACAAGGTAGTCATGATAAGGTAGTCATAACAATAGGTAGTCATAGTAACCTTTTGAAACAAAGGCAGGGTTGCAAGGTAGTCATTACAACTTTTTGAAAAAAAAAAAAAAAAAAAAAGACATAGTTACCATTTCCCGAGACAGGCCATTTGTAGCTAAGGTTACAGGTGGGGCATAGCCCAATCCTTGAGAAACAGAGGCTTGATCAAACAGGAATGATCTTAGTTTGTCTTTACTGTAAGATTGCTTTTAAGCATAAGGTGGAGGCTGGCTGCTTCATCAGAAGTTACACCAGATGGTCTGGACTCAATGGGTCCATGCCCGTGTCTGGCTTCTGTTCAGGGGATTCCTCTGGTGAAAAGTATATCATTCTCATGTTGTGGCATGGTAATTGTCAATTTTAAAACCACATCTCTCCTCTTAAATGGTAGAAGAGATAATTTATTCTGCAGCCATTTTGGGTGAGCCTGGCCTGGAAACTCAAGTTTAGCTCATCTGAAATTCCATATTCCCTGGTCTTTTCTCAGTGATGACCACCACGTGGGTTTTTGTTTCCGCTAGGCTAAAAAAACTCAAGTGGATTTAAAAAGAAATATTGTATTCCAAAGTTTGAGCTTTGGAGTGAGGGGCAGGAGTGGTTGGTTTTCCTGTGTCAACGTGTACTACTTGTGACTTTGGACAGTTATCCTTGTGTCCTGGGCTGGGGTACAAACCTGTAGTGTGAAGGTTAAGGGAACATATATACAGCAGTTGGGCAGTAGAGCAGGAGGATCAGAAGTTCTAAGTCAAAGTTGGGTACAAAATGAGTTTGAGACAGCCTGGGCTACATAAGACCTTGTTTCAAAACAAAAAAAAAAAAAATAACAAGATAAACAACAGTAAAAAAAAAAAAAGCAACTCTCAGGACCTCCCTAGTTCTAAGCCTCCATGGCATTGTTCCTAATGCCTGCAGGAAACACTTGGACAAGCTGCTTGCTTGTAGTTTGGTTAGCTCCACTACAGAACTGTAGCGTACTGGAAGGGGTGGGCCCTAGGGGAAATCAGACTGGTGAAGGGAGCTGGGTGGAGGCAAGAGCAGGGCTAAGCCCTCATTGGCTCCTGCAGTGATGATTTTAATCACTGTTCATCCCTTTGTTCCTGATTCTGGATAAAGATAGTTTGTAATTTATGGTGGTTTGACTTAACAGTTTCAATGCTTTATGATAATAACAAACACGTAGGGATATAACCATGATGTTTCTTAACTTTAGTATGGTGATAAACTATGGGAGACATTCGTCCTTTCACTGTAAAACAGGCTTTGTGCTGGCTGGTTTTACCTGACTATGGGTTATTGAATATGTTTTGAGCACATTTAAGGCAGGCAAAGCTAAGCCATGATGCTCAGTATGAGGTGTATTAAGTACATGCTTTAGTGTTTTCAACATATCATGAATTTATTTGGACATACCCTGCTATGTATTGAGAGGCATTTGTAGTGTGAAATGGGATGGGGATTTATGGATTCTCTCCTTCCTCCTCCCTCACCTCTACTCTTCTTTTTCCTTCTTTCTAGTCCTAGGGAATGAACCTAAGGCCTCAGCTGTCAGACAAGCAATCCACCACTGAGATATACCTCCAGCCTTTTTTTTTTTTTTTTTTTTTTAATTTTGAAACCATCACTAATTTGCCTAGGTTTGCCTTAAGCTCTGTTGTCTAGGCACTTGAGCTTATTGCTTTAGTCTTCGGAGTAGCTGAGATTATAGCCATATTTTCATATTGAAGTGACAAAGTTAATTCCTTTTTGGAAACTTCCTTTTTCCTCTCTTTCCTCCCTGTGCCTTCTCCTTTCCCCTTTTCTCTTTTTTTCTTGTTTTCTTCCATTTTACTACTCCTCTTCTTTCCTGTTCCTCACTCGCTTCTTTTTCCTTCCTTTCTTCCTTCCTTCCTTCCTTCTTTTTTCTTTCTTTCTTTCTTTCTTTCTTCCTTCCTTCCTTCCTTCCTTCCTTTCTTTTTCTTCCTTCCTTTCTTTCTTTCTTTCTTTCTTTCTTTCTTTCTTTCTTTCTTTCTTTCTTCCTTCCTTCCTTCCTTCCTTCCTTCCTTTCTTTCTTCTTTCTTTCTTCCTTTCTTCCTTCCTTCCTTTCTTTCTCTCTCTTTCTTTCTCTCTTTCTTTCTTTCTTTCTTTCTTTCTTTCTTTCTCTCTCTGTCTTTCTTCTTTCTCTCTTTCTTTCTCTATCTTTCTCTTTCTTTCTCTCTTTCTTTCTTTCTCTCTTTTTCTCCCTCTCGCTCTTTCTTCCTCCCTCCCTTCCTTCCTACCTTCCTTCCTTCTTTCATATATGGGAGCCTACTGAATAACTGACACTGACCCTGAACTTCCTATGTAGCACTCATTTGGTTTTGATCCCCCTTCCCAACTATTTAAATAATCTGCTATATCTGAAGTCTTGCGTGGCAAGCAGAGTTTCTAAAAATACTAACCAATTTGCCACTGAACCATACTGGAACATGATGTGTCTCCATTGTGGCCAGCTTTGTAAATGGGTCTAGTGAGGAGTTCATAATTTCCCAAATTTTGTGACCAGAATATAGGATATGGAGGCTGGGGATGTGGCTAAATAGAAGAATGCTTCCCCTTTGCCATCCTATTGTGTCATGACACTAGCCATCCACTGTCTTCACTAGCCCAGGAGTGGCTCACATAGGACATTTTTGAACATCAGTGGAACCCTAAAAATAGGCCCTTCCCTGCGTATCCATCACAGACCCAGGAGGCAGCTGAAAGCCATTGGCTGTAAGCCTAAAGGGCACAAAAGGTACCTGAATTCTGACCTTGGTTCAGTCTTCTTGAGCTCTGGTACTTTGAGGGAAATTACTTATTTCTCTGATGTTGGCAGCCTTTTCTATGAAATGAGGGTCCTCTACAGCTTGGAAATATCAGGACTCTCAGGAGAGCAGTGAGCAGGCTCACACCTGGCTGTCCTCTCCTGCTTGTTTTTTTTTTTTTTTTTTTTTTTAATAACTTCAGCTACAGCTGTGCTGAAAATTGGAAAGTGTCCCTGGAATGCCAGAGCTCTGACTGCCTGGCACCGCCAGGGCTTAACATTGAAACTGTGCTCTATCAGAGAGTCAACTGTCTGCGAAGGCAGCAGACTGCATCCTCAGAAACAGCTGCCTTCTATGTGGTCTCTGCTGGCAGATTATAATGTGGGTGGGTGGGGGTGGGGACACAAGCAGTCAGCCATTCTGGAGCTGAGTCTTCCCCCTCAGGTCAGCGGACAGCCACGTCTCTGAGACACACAGTGTCTGTGCCTCTCTGGTCATCATTCCTTCCACTCTTAGTTCACTCTGTGGCTGTTTGGACCAAGGTGCTTCATGAAATACTGGGTCTAGTTAGAGTGGCAGTATTGACCTTGTACTGCTCAGTGGGCTCTAGGCTGTGCATGCGTGTGTGTGTGTGTGTGTGTGTGTGTGTGTGTGTGTGTGTATGGTGTGTTGATAGTGGTTACCTCAGAACACAAATCAATGTTATCAGTAACATGCAGGTTCCTTTCGACAACATGGGCTTTACATGTATGTTATAAGACAGAATATGAAAAGAGCCCCTGTTCTTTCTTCTTTCAAAGGGGATGAGGGACCAAGAGGAGAGTGGCACTCTGGCTCCCAAGGCTCTGCTCGATGGTGTCTCTCCACATTCGTTCTCTCTCTTTTCCTGGCTTCAGTGCTGGGAGACCCAGGGAGTCCTGAACACTTAGCAAGCGTTCCCTACCAAGGTGCACTCCCAGCCCAGCCCTCGGCATTAACACATGTCCTCCACTTTTGGGAAAGGCTTTGGAACCTTAAGTGATGACCCCAGATAGCAGGAACTCCATAGCCCTGCCTCTCAACAGCTGCTTCTTTATCTTCACAGAAGACACGGAAGGGGGTGTCTCTGGACCTTTCTGGGGCATTAGGATCTTGCTTTCCACATGGTACCTGACAATCTTTCTGGGAGGTGATGACCAATAATTTCTTTCCAGCCTGCTGCTTTTTGCCACTTGTTCCATGGGCAGTGAGACTCCAGGCTCTTGGTATACAGGAACACTGAGGACTGGCCTTACAGGCCTTGCCCCTCCCCCTCCTCCTCTTCTTGCAGTCTGACTTTGTGGTGGAGAAGCATGGCTGAGAGGCACTGTGCTGGCTTAGCTCGTTGGATTTCTGTTGCTCGGGGCCTTTTCACTTCAGTACCTTCTGTGTTATTATACAGTAAGGTGGCTAGTTTTCTGAGTAACTGGAGGGCCATAGCTAGACTGAGTGGAAATAAAAAAGTAAAAATACTGCTACTAATGGCCAGATAGCACCACCTTCCAAAACACAAAAGTGGACCAGGCTAAGAGCCACAGCCTTTATGTATTTAAATTCCTTTGATGGTCTACAGTGAGCATAAATTCCCTTTATAATGTAGGCCTGAACCGTTGATTAGAAGCATAAGGTACAAAAGACATTAAAAGGTTTAGCACAGGATGGCCTACGATGGTGGCAGCTTAACAGATATGTTACACAGGATGTAGTCTTCAAACTAAGAACACGATGTTTAGATTTCTTTGTGTTATTATTCCCATATGTTACAGGTGATCCGTGACTGAGCATATGGAACTATAGAAACTGCTGAGGGCTTTAAAACCAAGCCAGGTCCTCCATGGGGCTTCTGTTTGAACCAATTCCAGAAAAATTAGCTGAATGGAGCAGATGTGCTATCGAATGAGTCCGATAACTTTGCTCTAGACCGTGACCTTTCTGGAGAGAATGGGCATTTTCTGAGAGCCTTAATGGAAGCTGTTGTCATTGAGGCTGGGCTCCTGGAAGCCCTGGAGAACGCTGACCAGCCTGGGTTCTGTGACTCTCTTTTGTCTTGCACCAGAATCGAGCTCCGGGCCCTGGGAAAGATCTCGGAAGGTGAGGAGCTGACGGTGTCCTATGTCGACTTCCTCCGCCTCAGCGAGGAGCGCAGGCAGCAGCTGAAAAAGCAGTACTACTTCGACTGCTCCTGCGAGCACTGCCAGAAGGGGCTGAAGGATGACCTTTTCACGGCCGTGAAGGAAGATCCCAAGGTACACAGCACCTCAGGGCCTGAGGCTGCCTTCCCAGGACCTGGGCAAGAGTGGGGTTTATAGCCTTGAGGAATGGCATGGGATAGAGTGCAGAGCAGGGCAGGCAGGCCCCAGCTGGTTCGGGGGGAAGTTTGAAGAAGCCAGTCTTCTCTGTGAAAAGAGCAGTGGCCTGACTACATGGTTATTGTGACAGTGGGTGAGATGACCTGTGTGAAAGGGCTGGCACAAAGCACTCGGCTTATGTTCCCCGCTCTCACCCTGTGCAGATGACGTAATGCGGAGAACTGCAGATCAAAATCCAGCAGGCAAAGGGATTTGATATGGTTTTCCTAGTTCTGTAGAGGTGGGTACTATGAAGATGGGCCAGTCTTGCCGAGCTGGGAGAGAGCTGAGCTGCCAGGGGACAGGGTAGCTAGCAAAAGCCTCATGCCAAAAATGAGAGTGAGTTCAGACACTTATATAACATAGGAACAGGAAGCAGAAAGCAGAGAAGGTGCCAATTGCTCATGTGTTTCCTGCCTGGGAGCGTACAGGAGGGGAGAACGGGGCAGCAGGGCATGGGGATACTCTTTTTCACCAAGGAATTCTCCTTCTAAGAATCCAGCCAGAAGAGGCACTTCCATGTTCACTAAAAGGTGCGTGGATAAAGACAGATGGTAGTGGTGCTGTTAGAAACAATGAAATAGTGAAAAAACCCACACCAATACACAGGGAAATATTTAAACAGAGAAAAAGACCCTACGCCATTTAAATGCATGAAGCAGGTGTGTATATGCAGCTCTGCAGTGAGATCTATTCCTCAAGGGAAACGAGTTAAAGGGCCCAAAGATGCCATGTACATATCTTAGATTGCTCGAGGTGCCACAGCACATGCCCCAAACTGGATCGGTTAAACCTCAGTGTAACCAGTCTTACGGCTCGGAAAGCCTGAGGCCCGAGGTCCAGCTGTCAACAGGATATGCAAGAAGAATCTTCCAGATGTTTCTCCTGAGCTTGTAGAAGGCTGTCTTCTACCAGTGTCTCTTTACATCATCTTGCCTTTTGCTTGTTGGTCTTTTTTTTTTTTTTAAATAAGGTTACCAACCGTGTGGTTGGGATCCACCCTGCTTCCTTCAACGTGACTCATCTTAAATAATTGTATCTGCAAGGCTGCCACTTCCAAGTCAGGCTGCGTTCTGAGGTCTTGGGGCTTAGGAACTCAACATATGATTTTGAGAGGTTGGCGTTCAATTTATAACATCATGTCTGTTTACCACGTTAGGAAAATTAAAAGAGGCATGCAAGCATAGTCAGTATCCATGCAGAAGGAACTAGAAGAAAGCTGTGACCAGTTGGTCAGTGAAGCATGGGGTAGAGAAGTTTAGTCGATACTCCCATGCAGGAGATAAAATAGTTCGGTCCAAAAATTATGTGTTTACAGGAACAACCTCTTTCTTTTTTCTTTTCTTTTTTTTTTTTTTTTTTAACAGAGTCAAAGGACTTGTATACTGTTAGTATTTTTTAAGTATATTTTTTTGGGGGGGAAATAAACAAGATCCTTTTTTTCCCCTTTCAAAATTCTTCAACATGTAGTAGTTTTAAGTCTTTCTGTATTTTTGGTGGGTTCCCACCGTCAGGAGGCGATGGTGGTTTGGGGACCAACTCTATCGTTGTACACCAGTTGCTAGTGGGGATAACATGTGGATTCTCTCAGGTTGACATGTCTCTGAGAAATGATTGATGGTTTCTGCTCGAACCTAACTAGATTCAAAGCAAAATCTTTCTCATATTTTTTAGACACCAAATTGGGTTTTCTATCTTAAGACATTTAAATTAGATTTATTGGCTGGGTGTGGTGGGACATGTCTTTAATTTCAGGGAGGTAGAAGTAGGTTGGTCTCTATGAGTTTGAGGCCAGCTTGCTCTACATAGTGAGTTCTAGAACAGCCAGAGCTACATAATAGAGAGACCCTGTCTCAAAAGCAAATAATCAACCCCCACAAAAAAACAGAATGAAACAAAAAACACATTTATTTATTTGTGTATTTATGTATGTCCCTATTCTGTATGTATGCCTTTTGGCCCGTACGCCTGTGTGTACATGTGGCTGTCAGAGGACAATTCGTGGGAGTCCTGCTGTGTGGCCCGAGCTGGTCTTAAGCTCACTATTTAGGTCAGACTGGCTTCTAACTCATCACCTTCCCAAGGGCTGAGATTGCAGCTGTGTGCCTTGCTAGGCTATCATTTTTCTTTTCTTTGTTTAATTTATTTTTAAGCTATTGTAATGTATTAAGAGGGGAAAAAAGGAAAAATGAGGAGACCTGTTTTCTAGACCAGACATAACCCTGAATGTCTGAGCTTGGGCAAGTCTTTCCCTTTGGGGCCTCATTTTCCTCATCTGTAAAATGGAAGGTTGAAGAATTTAACAGTGTTCCCCTCAGCTTGAACTATGTACTGTGTCATCACAATTATTTTGCTTTGATTTATGTAAGACAGTGTCTCATAAGGCACAGTTTGACCTGCACTTGCTGTGTAGCTGTTGGTATAGTTTTTAAAAACTCTTTTATTTACATTTCTTATATCTCTTTCACCCTACTCCTTTCCACACCCCAACACCAGGTAGAAGAGAGAAAGGGTTAGTGGAAGAGGGGGCACAGTTCCCTTAGCTGCTTCCTGCTGGTCAGGGTCATTGGGTTCCTTGGAGACAGTCCAATCCTTGTTTCAGGAGACCTCCAACTTCTTGTCTCGCTGCAACAACAGCAACAGGAGCTTAAGAGGGGGCAGCAGCAGCTTTGTTCTTTCTCAGGACTCCTCCATGCAATCTGAGCTCTGGAATTTATTCTCTCTCCAGAGTCCTCAGCTTTAAACTATCTGCAGCTGGCAAAGAGCACCTCTCAGAGCCCACGTGAGGCTAATAGTCTGTTACTGTGGACTATCTCAATCAGTCCCCCATCCCACACCTGGGACCAAAACATGTCTCGCACCTCAGGCTCTCAAGGGCTGTAATTACAGGCCTGAACCACCATGCCAAGCTTGCTGTTTCCCTTCTCTTTCTCACACAACACTTTCCCGAAACCAGATAAGCAGCGTCTTGGTCAGTCAGCACCAGAAGGTCTTCTACCACCTTCACATATGCATGGTAACCCCCGGGAAATGCAAACAAAATGTTTTAAACGAGAAAATATAAAACACCTTCCTCAGTTTAGCCTGATTAGGTTTTTCTTTTTCTAGGCTTCAAGGCTACTTTTCCAAGGCCAGGAACAAACATCCTTCATACTCTTCCTTTTCACTCTTTGGCTCACGCTGCCAAGGACAAGGGGTAACAAAGTTCTGAGCCTTAGTCACTGACATGTAAAAAGGGGGCTGTAGAGGTGGTTCAGTGGGTGAGTGCTTGCTGCTCTTCCAGAAGACTCAGGTTTCATTCCTAACACCCATATTGGGCAGGCAGCTCACAACTGCCCGTGACCCCAAGTCCATGGAAGCCAATACCCTCTTCTGGCCTCTAGAGACATATGAACATACCTCTCTCTCTCTCTCTCTCTTATACACACACATACGTGAAAAAATAAGACAGGCCTAGTTCAGGTTGCATAAAAATCCATATTTAAAATGCCCTTCCTCTGTGTATTTGTGTGTGTGTGTGTGTGTGTGTGTGTGTGTGTAGTTTAAATGGAGTTACCCAACCTTGGCTGATAATGCTCTCACTCAAAATTCTAGACTGTCAAACAAAAACTGCAGTGCCAGGTATGGGTCAGAGATGTCCAAGGGACTCCCCAGACAATACAGGCTACTGTCGTTGCTCTTGGTTGCCTCCTGGCACTTGGAGGTAAGACCGTATTGCAGAAGACATCACACACCAGAAACAGGACTTGGAGGAATTGAATTATAAGCCTTCTTCTTGGGGAACAGTTCTCACAGAACTCTTTCTCCCTTTCAGGGGAGAAAAACTACTGGTAGTTCTACCCACATATAAAGCCTAAAAACCACGATGATGATTGGCTGGGCAGACCTCAGTGATTCGGTAGTGTCAACTTTATGATGGAGGTAAAGAGCAAATGTCTAATTGGACGTAAGGCCCAATCATTAGGAAAGAGTTCCCTCCTGACACTCTACCCATGGATAGAGAGGCCATTGGACCCAGAGGAGGGCCTACTATTTTCCTAAAACAATATAACTTTTAACTGTATTCTAAATATTGATCCTTAGATCATAGATAATGCAGTTCTTACTCCGCATTAAAGAAGCTTCTTTTTTGCACGGACAGAGTATGACAGATCCACAACTGGCCAAAATGCAGAGGATAAGGGACCACAGGGGTGACCAGCTCCAAATGCTGCACCTGCAATGCAGCTCCTACACTCAGGGCTCAGGGACAGTGATGTTAGAGGAGCAGAAAGATTGTAAGAGCCAGAGGACCAGAATGCCTGCTGTGAAGTAGTGTCTTTTAGAGACACAAAGCCACACCCATGAAATCTCAACAGTACGATTGCCTGAGCAAGACCTTCAATAATCAATAATCAATAATCAATGTTCTGGGAACATTGTGGACAGGGAACTCTTACTAGGTTCTAGCCTTCCATGAGGAGGGACATGCAGTCAGTGGCTGCTGAGAGACAGACACTGTTTTCCTCAGAGGTGAGCTTCCCGCTAAGGTGTCTAAGCGAGGTGATCATCCTTGCCGCTGTGTAGGAGCAGCACTGGGAAGGGGTGCAGCGGCCTGCTCTGGGAAGAAGGGTGCAGACACTGTGAACACAGCGCCCATCTGGGGAACCCTCCCAAACAAACCGACCTAAACTAAAGTGGGAAAAGCCGCATGAAGAGGCAGTTGGAAAAGCTACAGGGATCTTGAGAAATGTCATTCATTTCTTCAAGTGAAGAAGAATAAAGAAGGCTGATTCCTTCACTACAGTGAATAAATTCATTACAGTGACTGTCTTAATGAAGACAGTCTTCATTAAGACATCTTAATGGCAGATGTCGGAAGATAGTTTACTTTTGTGTCCTTTTTGGTAGTAGTGGGATTGAACCTTGGGCCTTATGTGAACAAGGCAAGTGCCCTACCTTCCCAGCCTTCAGGTACTCTGAGATAAAAATGGGCTGCCCCATGAGGTGACCTCAAGCTGGATGCCCCTCTCTTTTCTAGCCATCCCAGGAAGTGGTGAAAGAGATAACACAGTTCTCAAAGGATACACTGGAAAAAATAGACAAGGCTCGCTCTGAGGGTTTGTATCATGAGGTGAGAGCACTTCTAAGAGGGGATAGTGATGGGGGAGGGTGGAAATAAGGGAGGTGTGTGAAGGGAAAGGGGGAGAGTACTGAACAGGTTGCGTTTCCTAGAAGGCCATTCCTCTTCCTGCCCTCCTATCTTAGTGCCCTTGAAGGGTGTGTTCTCAGGGAATGCTCAGCCCAAGGAGATCTGGCCCAGAAGGGCAAAGACTGCTGGATCCATGTGCTAGGGGTTGGGGGAGTGTGCCTGTGACAGCCCAGGTGGCATCAGAAATGGAAGAACGGACCCTGAGAATGGCCTGCTTGTTTTCCTGTCACTGAATATATGCCTGTTGCTGCTCACTGGGCATTGCACCGTCAGGTGGAGAGAAACCATGAAAACTGAGTGTTATTTATGGTAGGGAATCTATGACCTTTTTGTTAGGAACCAGAATAAGTTGTGGGCTCCACCAGCACCATTCCCGGCTTCTCCCCTTCGTGTCTATCTTCCAGTAACATTACAGGCTGATGACTAAGCCTTGAACCATAGGCCTTAGGAGTGGACACTGAACCAAACCGTAGCAATACATTTTCCCTTGATTTATCTATACACACACATACACACGTTTAGTGTGGATGTAGATACGCACACATACACACATATGTAGTTTCCACTGCTCTGCTGCTTACTGACTGAAAATTCCTCACTTTGTTCTATCATCTTTGTGTCCCAACTCTACCCTTTCCCATGCCTACATCTTAGCCATGCAGGCCATTTTGTTAGTTCAAACCACAAACCTTCTTTCCCCTCCCCCCATCAGAAATCTCTGCAGCTTTCAAGGAGCGTGGTGTTGTCTTGATGTTCCACCTGTCAGGTAAGCATGTACTGTGGCACGTGGTGAAGATGAAGCTGTGTCTCCCCTCAGGTTGTGAAGCTGTGTCGGGAGTGCCTGGAGAAGCAGGAACCGGTGTTTGCCGACACCAACCTCTACGTACTTCGGCTGCTAAGCATTGTGTCAGAAGTCCTCTCCTACCTCCAGGCCTTTGAGGAGGCCTCGCACTATGCCAGGAGGATGGTGGATGGCTACATGTAGGTGATGGTCCTGAGTCTCAGGTGGTCTCCTGAAATGGTCTATTCCAGGAACGCCAGAGAGATGGCACACAGTTGATTGCTCCTCCTATACACACAAACGGCATTAGCAGTAGGTCATGGTCATGGTCGTGCGTCTCCTTACAAATGAACCTTTTACCACAGTGTTCCAAGTAATAATGATCAAAAAGTCATCTGACTCTCAGGTGACACCTATTGCCAGCTCTGGTTGGTTTGCGGTTACTCCTTTGCTTGTCACGTGATCTGCATCTTCTGCCTTGATTTTCCTAAGTGAAGCTTGATTTTAAGTGCTTGGAAAACTTTTTTTTTCCCCTTTAATAACCTACGACAAAGCCTTTAACACATAGGTCTGATGGGTGGGCACTATTTAAACCATAGCAATATATTTGCCTTGTGTATATCTTTATATAGTAAGCATCTGTGTACATGGATATACACATAAGTATATGTGTATGCAGATATATGCCAGACATGCATAGAGTTTTCACAGATACACTATGAAGAGAGAGAAGCCATTCTTGCTTATAAACCATAATGTGCTGCTTCCTTATTTTCCTCCACCAATGTTCTCCATTGCCTTCTATGTTCACATTAGCATAGGAATTTGTGTTTCTGATAAGATGAGTGTGTTGTCACAAGAAAGCTTTTCTTTGAAGGAGGATGGTCATTAAAAATTCAGGTACGAAAAAAAAAAAAATTCAGGTACGCTGTCCAGCATGCTGCAAAGGAGCCCTGCCCGGAGAAGGAAATCCAGTGCCATCCAGGAAGAACACTGAAGTTATAGTTCCGACCTTGGGCTTCTTTATACATTCCCCAGAGCTTAAGGGGTGCTGCAGATGGCAGCCAGCTCCCTAGGCTCAGGCATAGGTAGGTCTGTTTTGTTATCCATGAAGCCTTAGCTTGGTTCCCAACTTGGTGGCTTTACCGTGTAGAACATTAGCCACTTCTATGTCTTTCAGCCCCAGCCACTGCTGCCTCCTAGCACTAGTGCGAGGACTGCATGGCCTTGGCCAGGAGAGTCAGTGCTGCCTTTGCTGGTTTATGCCAGTTCACAACTCCAGGTCACAATCCATCACTGCACAGAGCAAGCTGAGGTCACATCATACCCATAGTCAAGGGCAGAGAGAGGGAATGAATGCATGCAAGGTTGCTCTCAGTTGGTCCTCTCTGCTCAAATCTAGGATCCCCTTCTCAGGGAATGGTGCTATGGATGGGTCCTCAGGATAGATGCCCACGCTCATACCCATAGCCAACCTAACCTACAAAGTTCCTCATTGAGACTCTTCTCTCAAGTGATGCTAAATTATGTATGTCAAGGTGTCAGTGATAGCCACCAGGGTGTGTTAGGAGTTGTCCTGTGTGGTCGAGATGTAAGGACAGTTGGGATGATGGGTCACGATCACATTCTGTGCCTCTGCAGGAAGCTCTACCACCATAACAACGCCCAACTGGGTATGGCTGTGATGCGGGCAGGCCTGACCAACTGGCATGCTGGTAACATCGAGGCTGGGCACGGGATGATCTGCAAAGCCTATGCGATTCTGCTGGTGACACACGGGCCTTCCCACCCCATCACCAAGGACTTAGAGGTAAATAGCTCAGCTGTCACTGTACTGTTGGGGGGTCTCTTGAGATGGAAGTCCTGGTTCATCTGGACTTTGCTTTGTGGATGCCAGCTAGACCAGAAAGGAACTTAGAATGTGTTAGCCCTCTCCCTTGCTTGATATGAGGAAACAGACTTCCAAGAGAGGGGTGCACTCTGTCTGTAGCTATCCAGTGGTTTGATGGGGAGGTCGGAGCTGGCTAGTTTTATATCCAGTATATAAACTTAGTATATTGACTAAGCTTGTCAAAGGCAGAGCCCCTGTCAATCTTTCTTACCACGGTGTCCGGAGCCTCTGAACACAAAGCTCTTTCTGCATATCCTCTGTGGGTATGTGGGTGAGCACATTCCAAGCTTTCCAACCTGCTGTGAAGTGCATGGAAATCTCACTGTCTCCTGGATGGTGAAACAGGGGGCTGAAGTGGTCAAGCCCCTTTGTTGAGGTCCCACAAGCACAGAGTTCAGGATCAAGGATTCAGATCCAGCTCCTCACCTGACAATGACAAGAAGCATTCTCTGCTGAAAACAACCCTTTAGCTACTGTCTCCTGGGTCCAACTCCCTCCCTCTGTGGTGCTAGGCATATTGCAATACCACCAGACCACAATGGTGCTTCTTTCTCTTTCCCCCCTCCCTCCACTCTCTCTCCCTCCCTCTCCCTCTCTCTCTTTCTCTCTCTCTCTCTCTCTCTCTCTCTCTCTCTCTCTCTCTCACACACACACACACACACACACACACACATACACGACATGTTTCTGAAGGGATAGAGTTGAATTTTATTGACCAGGGGCATTTATCCAAAGATATGTCACGACTGTGTCTTGGGGACATGTCACTATCAGTGGTATATCTATGTCCCACAGGCCATGCGGGTGCAGACAGAGATGGAGCTGCGTATGTTCCGCCAGAATGAATTCATGTACTACAAGATGCGAGAGGCTGCCCTGAACAACCAGCCCATGCAGGTCATGGCTGAGCCCAGCAATGAACCAGCCCCAGCTCTGTTCCATAAGAAGCAATGAGGACCTTGTTGGAGAGTGGGGGCAATGTGCCTGGGGGTCTGGGGAGATTTCTACCCTGTGTCCCCTACTGTCATTTTGCTCTCTCACCTCAGATCTTTTTCTATATGTGTTGGGTGCTGGGTTCCACCATCTATTTAATAAAGAAGCCCCAAATATAATTGGTCTAGAAGGACAAATATAAACAAATAAGGCACAGCATAAGAGTAAATGCAATGGTGAACTCTATGAAGAGAGGTTCAGAGGAGGTGAGTGTTTGGGGGTGGGTCGGGAGCTGGGGGCGACACCTGAGCTAAGGGTAGCAGGTGCCTAGAATCTCAGACGACTACTCGTTTATTTGTGCAGGCGTCTCTGGGGCTGCGGTCTCATCTATGGTTAGGAATATTCAGGGTCTTGCAGCCAGGGATGGGTGATGTCTGTATCCCCAGGCTGGTGTAGAGTTGTGATCAAAGGGCTGGGGCTGTGTTTGGCCCTTTGAGATCTACTCAGAGGCCTGAAACTCATTTGCAATGGAGCCTAGAAGAAGAAGGAGCCTTGCTTGGACCACCTGTGGTCTCAGTTCCTAGTCTGAGCTTGAAACATAATTTTAGAAATAACTCTAGAATACACAGAGAAGGAATCTTTTCCTTCTTGGTCCTACTCGCCAAGCCTGTAGATGTTTGTGATGTGGGGGCTATTTGAAGAAAAGCTGAGGTTTTTCTGGCTGAGATGAGGAGTGAGAAGGGCTTTTCAGGGTGAAGCTGAGGGTCTGCATGCCTGGCAATGGTGGGCCCAGCAGAAGTGGATTGTGGGAGTTTCAAGCCGGGACAGTGTGCATCAGCTTAGGCTTCATCCTTGCCTGGTGAGACTCTGCTCATACAAGTGAATGACTGTGCTTAATTTCTTTATCCTATCCATGTTCTGGGGGCTTCTGCCCTTAAGAGAGGGCGGTTCAGTTTGCTCTGGAAAGACATGGAGGTTTCTGGTGCTCAGGTCTGTTATCTGATCTTCTACCAGGAGCTCCAGCCCTCACATCACCTGGCTGCTCTGCAGGTCAGCATGCTCCAGATGAGAGCCATGACAGCTCTTCTAATACCCTGTCACTCTGAGAACACTCAGAATGCCACCTCCTTTATCATGTCACTCTCTCTCTAGCATAAGTCCTGGAACATAGTAGGTGCTCATTAAATGTACATTGAATGAATAAATGAATGAAACCCTTATCTTGGAGTTAAGAGATACACAACTGTGTATTTTTAGCATCTGTGTCATCGCATTAAACAAAGCTCATTAACCCCTTCTGTTTATGGAGCATGGCTTCCTGTTTCTGCCAGTCTTTCCAGAGGTGCTCCATCTCATGGAATTTCCTGTGATGTTGGAGAGGATGTCTGTCTGTGGTGGCCAGTTTAGTAGCCACTAACAGCATGTGACTGCTGAGCACTGGAATAAGATTAAGGACATGAAAGTAGAATTTTATTTAATTTCAGTTAATTTATGTTTAACTAGGCAAGGTGGTCAGTAAATACAACATTAAACTGTAGTTTTAGGGAAATTCTTTAGTGTTGTTTTAAAGAGCATGGAGGCTGATAAAAACCATCAAAGTTTGCCTTCTTCACAGCTATCCTGATACCAGACTGATACTTCACCCCTGCCTCAGTTTCCTCATTTATCCCCCTGCCTAGGTTGGCAGTAAAGACTGGATTTTTAAAGTGCTAGCTTATAAAGTCCTTAGGATAGCAGCAGGCACATCAGCAGGATTTAAAGAGAACTTGCTAGTGTCACACTCGCTGAGGCCACATTTCTGCTAGTGTTTCTATTTGCCCAGCTAGAAATGTAAGGGTGGTTTGTGGTTGTGTGAAATTGGCTTTGCCAGCTCTGGGAGCCACTGGCACAGGTCTCCACAGCACCATGCTCACTGATATCACACTGATAGGTAACTTGAAGTCGGCCATGACGGGAATGCCAAGACCATGCTCATTGCCTTAATCTCAGAGCACATGTGTAAACTTACAAAAGGGGAGAGACAGAATGGGGTCTTAGAATGTTAGAGGAGCCTTTGATTACACTGGAGTGGAGACAGTAGTCTCGAACCTTTACCCCTCAGAGCCACACTAAACATGTTCTGGGCTGAGTTCAGGCTCCTTTCCAGAGTGAAAAGATTTATTGTGTACACTCAATTCTCTCTGTCTCCCCTCATGCATGCCCTAATTTCATCATACCCGCTGGCAAAGTAAACACCCTCGGATGCTCTCAGACCTCCTGTGATTCTTTTCTGATGTGGAACACTAGAAAATTGTGGATGCTCAATGTGTATATAAGACATGATCCAGGACCAGGGAGCTGGTTCAGTGGTAGACATGCTTGCCATTAGGTCTGACAACCTGAGTTCAACCCCAGAGTGGGAGGAGAGAACAGCTTGTCACGGCCACAACCTGTGCACATGACATCTATATACCCCCTTCCCCAAGTAAATCAATAAAATATAACACACACACACACACACACACACACACACACACACACACACACACA